ATATATATATATATATATATATATATATATGTATATATATTGTGTGATTAGCATCATATTCCAAAATATATACAATAAAGTTATAATAAAAAAATATTCGGGGATCTAGAAAACACATCCAAAAAAGATTGGGAATCTCTACTCGCTAACTCGATTTGCATATACATTCTATTGTAGGATTTCTGAATGTTTTTTCTTACAAGAAGTGTACCCCTTTCAAGATTGCGTACTTATTTACTGAATTGTAATATTATAACAATATATTGCAATATTTTTCACAAAATATTAAAATTACAATATTTTGCAATATTGATATAATATTTTCAATGAAGTATTAACATTCCAATATTGCTGCAATTTTTATAATATTAAAATATTGCACTATTAAAATATTGCAATATTTCGTTCTGTAGGGAACATAATGTAACGTATATATTTCATAAATATATTTTTAGTAAGATATACTAACATAACATAATATATATATTGTTCAAAGAAATTTTTTGAACATATTTCCGATACGAGATATTGAAATGATTTCCATTTCTAAAAATTTTCTCCAGAGTTCTAAAATTATTAGAGATTTTTAGACGCATCCCGCATTTATTCCAATTTACCATATCATAGATCATGTCTGAAATTAAAAAAAAACATATCTCAGGATAATTAATAATCTCCTGATTACTAATTATGTCACTCGTTAAAGGAAATCACTTATGACTCGCAGACGACAAATTATACAGAAAATACACTCGTTCCGCATTGTTCCCGAATACTGATTCTAGCGCAAGAACAAAAGGTACGATTACATGTGGCATTGTCACAAGCTAGGACAAATTGTATTACAGTATTTGCAGCTTAAAACTAACAATTTTTATTGCAGCTTGTTGAGGATTCTTGACTTCCAGGAGACAGTTAAACCAACATCGAATTTGCAAGCTACTGTAATGACCATCTTAGCAGCGAAATAATTGAATATTCGTGTAGTGTCTCGTGTTTTGCGAAAACTTATTAATTAATTCTTCCTAGATTAATCCTTCTGTCCATTCTACCTGCCTGAAACACATGTGATTACAACTGATTCGACGTGTAACGATTATTTACTTAAAGTAGTATTTACGTAAGAAACGGTCAAGGGTAATTGTAAACTATAAAAGATGTATCCAGTTGAATAAAATACTCAGTTTTGTGAGACACGAATTCCTAACAGCGATAAAATTATGGATAGATCAAATTTCTGTTTATTGGCCATCTTGGCCATTTTGGCGGCTGTTGTTGCCGAAGAGTTATATTCAGACGAATGGGATCACATCAATCCCGATGATATCTTGCCGAATGATGAGCTTCGAAATCAGTATTACAATTGCTTCATGGATACTGGCCCGTGCATGACAGAAGATCAGAAATTCTTCAAACGTACGATATTTTATTATCTCTAGTATAAATTTAATTTTATAAACGATAAATACAACTTTTATTTAGTAATAAAAGAAATTGTAAAAGTATTAATATTCTAATAACATTATTATATAATCTGGACAAAAATATATTTATTTTTTATTTAATCCTTTACTTACTTTAATGAAAATTTCATTTCGTACATAGTACTATTTAAATATAGAAAAATCTCGATTTAAGTACTTATACCTATATATCTAGGTATATTTTAACATTGTGTATAAAGAATATAACAAAAATATTATTAAGATTAAAATGGATAATCTCTAATTTAATTAATAACATTTATTTTAATTTTTTGTTCATGCGTATAGAAATATTTCTCAATACATTTTTTATTTTCTCAAAATATCTACTAAAAGATTTGGAATAGATAATATGATATAATTGTTATAATAAAATATTATAACAAAAGAATGTTTATATAATAGGAAATTACTATTATTTCGCACAATTTTCAGAAAATATAGAGTGTCTGGAAATTTGTAAATTAAAATATAACAATAAGAAAGTTTTAAAAAATTTGTAAGTAAAAAAGTTATTCGTAAATTTTTATTTTAAGCGATAGTTTATGAAATAAAAATAATAATAAGGGTTTATCTTAAATCCTACTGCTTGAAATAAAAATGTACACATAACTTTTTTATTTCAAAAACTTTCTTGCTGTGATATTTTGATTCGTGAATTTCAAGACATCCTGTATGTGTATCAATAAAAATATCTGAGATTTTCTATTTTGCAGAGCATGCCGCTGAAGCGTTTGCAACAAAATGTCGAAAATGTACAGAAACTCAAAAAAAGAATGTAGAAAAGATAGTCATATGGTACACCGAGAACCGCCCTGAGGAATGGCGTGCCATGGTAGAAAAGCTTTTGGAAGAGGCGAAGAAGTTGAATATTACACCCGTCGACTAATGTTGCCAAACAAACAGCACATTTCGCATTATCATGTATACTTAATTGTGAAATAACAAATAATGATCTCGCATCCATAGTAGTTTTCCAAGATATTAGCTGCAATATACGATACAATTATGATGTAGACGCATGCGAGATTTAGCAGTATTACATTATTGTACAATTTTAACTGACAATAAAAGCCGTTTTGTGACGGGTTGAACGTCTATGTACCTCTCAACGGGTGCATCGGCAATCTGCAATTATAAATCATGATGGTATTTATCATCGAGTTATCTCTGCGGATTTTAGTTCGCAGAGGAAAAAGCGACAACACGACTTTTTGTCACTTCATCCTCATTAATATTGGTATCGGCCTTACGCATGCGTCGGAAATGTATTTCATTGTGGAGCGCACGTTCATAGCAGCGGAGGGGTGATATACTTGGTTCAGACTCTAACCACATCAGCCTAAATCATTTCTACTAGTCGCGAGATAATGCTCGGGAAAGAGACATTCGTTCCCGATTGTATACTCTGATATTATTCCAACTGAAGTGTTCATTTCCCGAATTCGTCATGAACTGTCGGTCCTCAACGAGAGAATCGATACGGGTAGTGGAACGGGGTGGCTGCAGTTTACTAGGGTGACTAACACACATCGTAACGCGTTTGTCATATTAAATTCGACGATTCTTTCCAAAATCGACGAAATAACTTTTATAGAGGTATCACGGGGTTATTGCTTTACAATAACAATAATTTGTCAATAATTGATAATGTAACAATTTTGTTGCTGATATTTCCTGTAGCGGTCGGTAATTCGATCCCGCCGATGACAGGATACACGCTTACGTAGTGTATAATGGTGTGTAATAATTTTATCCGCGCATCCCTCATATACTCGAATATACGCGCGGGGTACTCGTAATTATTTGATGAGCTTGCTTGAAAAAAACAACGCCTGCTTATTCTCATCGCGACGATTTTGCTGCAGTGCCAGATCGAAGTTCAATTGATGCGTAACGCCCTCTCATTCTGGACAAAAAATTGGAATGCGACGAAAGTTTGTTCTCCATTCCAGGTATTCCATTAACTGATTAATTTTTCCCTTGCGTGTAAACACGAGCGTGGCGTATTAATGTGTAAGCGGAAAAAAGAACATGCAATAATTTGCATTCTGAAAGAAAATAATTTAAACGTCATAAATACTAATTTTAGATGGTAAAAAAAATAATGACATCGTCATTGTGTTGAATCATGATAACTGGAGAAGATACTTAACACGAAAGAACGTGAATTTACGAGGTGATAAAGCAGGTATTTGTGCCATGATTTGTTGTAAGATATTTTGAGAAAAATCCTACAATTTATATAATGATTATTTTAAAATAAAACCCTCCTCCTATCCTTAAGACTTGATCTATTAACAAAGAGAGATTCAGGTATAATATGTATCTCACGGATTTAGAAAATTTGATATGTATTAAGATAAAGAGTTTGACGTCGTATAATACGTAACATACATTTAAATGCCATGAGTTCAAGGATTGAACTTATAAAATTTTAAAATTTAAAATAGTCGCACGCATGACGGATATCATAGTAAACAGCCAGTTTTTGCGTGTTAAAATCAGCTAGGCGATATTTTTTTTTTTTATCATTTTTCTCGATGTCTATTACTTTTGGCATTTTCATAATTTATCTTATGACTTTGCAAATTAGAAGATATTTCAAAAAATTTATTTTTGTGAAAATTATAAACATTATTATTACATAAAAATTCACAATTTTCATTAAATTAAACAGTATATTTTATTATAAAAAGACTAACATACATTTTATTATAAAAAGACTAACATACATTTTAAGCTTTAAATAATTTGTCTTCTATCATTGTTCTTTTATTTCTATTTTTTATGACGAAAGTTCATAGTTCTTACTAAAAAATAAATTTTTTTAAATATTTGCAGAATCATCACATCATAAATTATGAATACAAAAAGAAACATTGAGGGAAATAATAAAAATAAGATATTTGCATCTAATCGGTTTCAAATATGCAAAAATGACCGGCCGTTTACTATAATATTTATTACGCGTGCTATTTCAAATTTAAAAATTTTGTAATTTCAATCCTTTGATCCATTGACAATTAAATGTTACGTTTCATAATATCAAACTTTATATCTTAATATATCAAATTTTTCAAAATTTGCGAGATACGTGTATATCCTGGATCTTCCTCTGTAAATAATAAAAAAGAAAATTTCGCTTCGAATCAATTAATATGATTTTTCTTGCATTCTCGCGTGTTCGCATGCTTCCTCTCGCATAAATTGAGGAAACCTTAATACAATGCAACATCGTGTATTGTGTTATAAGGATTAACACGTCATCTACAATCATATGTATCACATAAATTATATTATGTAATGATCCATATATCAATCAATTTTTTAAAGTTTTGTATTTCGAAACGAAATTAAATGTGACGAACGATTTTATCAGACATGTACATCGTGCGAAACTATATAACGAGAGATTTTCGATTTCATATATGTATTTTATATTATACTTTGAGTTCATACCAACAAAGAATCATATATTTTTTTCGAAAATAAATAATATATATACATTTCTCTCGCCCTTTAATTGTTTGTTATTCATATGATTTTATTCATACGTATGTTATATATAAGAGACAATTTATAAATTTATAAATTTTGCAATTAAATAATTTAGACAATTGCAAAATAGTAAATAAAATTTCGACTGCTTTTATTTTAATAAACACTTGAGAATTATTTGATTAGCATTAAAATCATTTCGGAAGCGATAAAATACACTTGTGGTTTTGAGAGAAATCCGGCTACAATAATGAAAAAAATAAGATAAAATAACTGCTATATATTGTACTGTGATTCAACGGTCACGCTCAATAGAAGTCAGCTTAGTTAGCTTAGTAAGCCTCTTTGTGCTGATAAGATTATACTTTTATGTTCGTATTCATACTCAGATCTTATTTAAGATCTTTTTAAATTGATCTTCAGATGCTCTATTATTATTGGCTATAACAAAGTATCTAAAGCAAAAACTTAAGAAAGCCTTAAAATATCTTGAGGAATTATATCTTGAGGAATTACATCTCAGCAATGAAAACGTCCAACAATTGCAAAATAAACGTCGATCGTATTCGGCAGAATATTTATTTTTGTAACTGTTGGAAATTTTCTTCGCCAAGATAGAACTATTCCTTTCTAAATCTAGAAGAGTATAATCCAATCAGTGTAAAAAATACTAATATGTATGAGATTGGCGCGGCGAAACAAAGTTTATTTATATTTATGACTTTGCTTCATTTGTGATCGATTCCACATCGGAAAAGCACAAACTGCCTTTTATTAATAGTACAGAAGGCGCACGAGAAATTTTTGATACAAATTTCTTGCAAAATACTTAAAATATTACGTCATACCACTTATCCAATTTGTCGAATTAGTGAGGATGAAGTACTAAATATATTTAAAATTAGGCGAAATCGTGCGTACGCTACTTGATCATCCTTTCGTAAATATTGTTCTGCCGAACAATGCCTTTCTGTTAAACGCGGTTGTTCTTGTTTTTCTTATGTGATATAAAAAATAAACTATATTTTATCTCTCTGGTTATCGTCTTTCATTGGCAATATACTCTCATTTGCAATATATCATCTAATTTTATAACAATCGCGTACATTTATAGAAATAAATTTGAAATGTTATTACCTTTAATAATATATTTTTTACATGTGTGTGATTTGTAGATATACAAAAATATCAAATATAAATTTTAAATATAACAAAATAAAATGCACCTCAATAAAAGATAATAAGAATGATAATAGTTGCTTTCCATTTACATCGATTCTCAGATAATTTTCACTTGTGACGTCATAACTCAGTTGAATGCATGTCCCTTTATGCATTCTGGTAAGTGAGATTCAACTGAATTTTTATTTATAATTTGCACCAGATCGAGATCGTGTGCTTCAGAGGATCTCGTAAGCTCGCTTCAAGCTGAAATTATGAACTTATTATCACATGTGATAATTTTTTACTAAAATAAACAAGTAGCGACGTCATTAATCTAAGTGTATAAAATATTCGGCTCACTTCAAACTCAGTTTTATTAGAATAAATAAATGAAAAGGAACTAGTATCCAAATACATCTATAAACTATAAATATCACAGATCTGTTTTCTGTGGCTGAGCTAGTGTAAACTTTTGCAACTTAAAATGAGATACACAGATTGTAAGTTTTAGCCAATGCTTTTAGAGCGGATTAAACTATGTCGAAAAGTCCATTTTTTTTTATAAATCTTCTCATGTTGGAAAAAATAAGAAAATGCAGTACTAAAAAGTTGATAAAAAATTCTGAAAAAATCCTCAGAACTGTACGAGAAGAAAATAAATGATTTTTGTCTTTTGCAGTTTTTTTGTAAAATTAATAATATTTGAGTAAAAAATTATTCAAGACCAATATTTAGCAATTTTTAGTAATTAATAATTGTTAACTATTGCGAAAATTGCAAAATGATTTAAATAGTAGAAGACTTTTCGACTCAGTTTAGTCCGCTTTATCTATACAAATGTGATTGGCCAAAACTTATGGGACACCTTATATATTTGATTTTCATTTGACGAAAGCGAAAAAGAAAGTTCTAGACCAGGTTCCATTATGTGATTAAGTTGTGTAAGTTTAACCTGATGTTTCATCAAATGGGCTTCATCCATGACGTCACAGATGAAGCCTATTGGATAAAACATCAAATTAAACCTAACCACAAATTAACCAGGAAATGAAAAATCAGATCCGAATGTAATACAGTCTAGTGCAGAAATAAAAAATATATTTCATATATTCATAACATTGTCCTGACAAACTATCCTAACCAACTTTATCTCACAACAGTATAGCATAGTCCAATGAGAAAATTCAAAATGAAGAAGAGATTATTGTGGTGCGGTTTCACTTTCGCCGTCGTGCTTCTCATCCTTATGATTTCGACTGAGAGTAACATCATCCAAAGAATACCGTTTCTCGACGTGACGACAGTCAACGATATCAGATGCTACGATGAAGTTTCGACTACAAAAAGCAGCCTTGATTTTGATTCGGAAACAAGTACGAAAATTATTATCTATCTTTATATGTATTAAAAAGTTTGAGAAAGTAAGTTCTTGATAAAAATAGCATAAATCTTCGTATAGAATAACTTTTATAAAAAAATCATGGTTGTAAAAAAAATATGAAATGTGTATTTTCAAATCAAATATATCAAATCCATACATTTTATCATGCAATCATCAGAAATTTATTACATTTTGTTTGATTTTGTACAAATTGATACAGTAATATTAAATATTAAACTTTCCCTTTATATTTCTGTGTACAGTTTTTTTTCAATGCTTTAGATTGTTTTTCGTATTGCCATTGAACGATTCAACTGAATAACCGATGCTCTAACCGGTGTTTTTAAAAATTCGAGATATTAATATATACTCGTATTATATTAAAAAGTGTTATAGAAAAAAAATTAATTATTTTATTATTTTTATTAATTAATTTCTTCAAAAGAGATGACAAAATTGAATGAGCTAGGATCTAATTTACTTAAAAATCGTTTAAATTACTTAAAAAATTTTTTGGAATCTTATGTATGATTCGACATATTTTAATAATTTTAATAATTATAATAATATTTTCAAGATACATAAAATTTAAGAAACTTTTATCTTTATTAAGCAATTAAAAAATTACACATTAAGAAATTTGTATAATTAATTTTAATACGGTATTTTAATATTGATTTAAACGTTTAATTTACATTTCTTGACGAGATTGTGAATATCACAATAAATACTCCGATTAAAAATTGCAATAAATTAATATGACTTAATAAATATGTCAACATACATTTGTAATAAACATTATTTACATTTCTTATGCTTTAGATTATATCGATAAGCCAACATCAGGTAGGAACATCTTCTTCCATGAGACTTCTTGTTTCGGCGACGAGGGCCTGACATTAAATGCCCGACAAGCTTGTGCCATAGAATCGGCAGCACGGATGAACCCGTCAATGACCGTGTATTTGCTATTCATCAGTAAATCGGAGTTCTCGAACAGTACACGCGAGATCGTCAGGCATCTTCTTAATTATTCCAATGTCAGGATCCGTCATATCGATCCGCAGAAATACGTGAAGGAGACGCCCTTGGATGCATGGTATACCAGTGGCGTCTTAAAGAAAAGCCATTGGCCGGTCAGTCATATGTCAGATATACTGCGTTATCTGACTTTGTGGAAATATGGCGGTATCTACCTCGATCTCGACGTAGTAGTCACCAGTTCGCTAGAGAATTTGACAAATTTTGCTGGCGCAGAGGACTGGGACGATGTTGCTGCCGGCGTCATGGGGTTCGACTTGTCGAAGCTGGGTCGACGCGTGGCTGATGCTTGCGTGCGTGATCTCAGAAAGAATTTTCGCGGCGACGTCTGGGGTAACAATGGACCCGGAGTCATCACAAGGACATTGCAGAAACTCTGCGCGACGACATATGTGAGTATTGTAGATATTGAAAAAAGATCTGGAACTACAATAATAGGAATTATTTATTTGATCACGTCTAAAAGTTTTAGTTAAATGAATTAATATCATTATTTACAACACACACAACTTTAGATATAAAATAGTATATATAAGAAAAAGTGAAAAGTGGAAATCATTTCTTATTAGAAAATTTTCTCATTAAGAAAATTTATTAATATTTTCATCTTAAATTGATTTTTTTCTTAAATTGATTGTAGATTCATAAAATATAGGATTATTGCTTTGAAAAAAATCATTAAAACAATTATTAAATATAATAAATTTTTATTTACTGACGTAAAAAAATAGTTCTGATCGGCGTAGCCTATCTGTGTCGGGTCAGGACGATCAGACAGTTTCGGAAAAGTTTCAGAAAATAAGAAAATAAAGAACTATTATTTGATTTTTTGTTATATAAAAGCTTTAAACTTTATTCTTCAGCTTTTTATTATTTTTACGTTTTTTTTTGGAATTTTTTATGAAGGGCCTGTAAGTTTTAATTGGTATCAGGTTTTTTGCATACATTTAAACAATATGTAAAAATTTTTATGTAAAAGAATGAAAATTATTATCAGTGGACCGCTTTAAAGTAATCGATGAAAAAAAACTTTTGCGCATGGCTTCGCATGGAGCCGATTCTGCTGGATTGAAACAAAAAAAATTCAAAATAATTCTCAATTAATATACTTTTGGCTATAGTAGGTATCAGAATGAAAGAAAAATATTGAAAACTAAAAATGACGTCACTTTGAAAATTAAATTTCGATTTTTGCATATTGGGCTATTTGATCTTAAGATATCATGGAAATCATGGAAAAATTTCGAGAAAAACGTGTCTTACATGCAGTTTATAGAAAGAATTTCTATCAGGTAATCCAGACCCCGTAATAAAGAGAATCCTCATCTTGCTCGAACATGTCCTTTTGAAAGACCCTCTTCAAATAATAACGGTCACATGAAATATACCTGCGACTATACTATTGTACGTAACATCCTTCTCGCTCGGCGAGCATATCGTAAATTTATCCCTTCTAGCCATTGTAATTTTGTAAGTTTTGCGAATTGGAATAAATCCTTTTGCGTTGTACATATTTTCCACAACATATACTTGCGAAAAATGCAAAAAAAGTTCGATTTTTTTAACCTGTTACAGTAGAATATCTTCTTGAAAAAGAACCAGATTACATCAGTAACTATAAAGTATAGTATGCACGTATTTAAATATACCAAAAACTTTATTACAATGTCATTATTTGTTATATAATATGAACTGGAAATTTTCAATATATCTTTTCAGTAGTTATTCATGTATGCATAATAACACATTATTTTAGCTAAATTTTACATAAAGTAAAACATTAGATAAAAAATAATATGTACTGTTTTTTAAAATATATATTACTTGTCATAATTAAGGTGATTGCCGCTGAAATGCCGTGATCCCGTTCTTTCCTATATTATAGGTTTACAAAACTTCATAAACATTTTTAACTGTACAAAAATTTTATGAAGTCGAACAATCAAACTTTCCAAATTATCTTGAAAGAATTAAAATTGAGAATTTTATTTCAATTTTTAGAAAAAAAGACTGAAAATGTTTTGGTCAATATATCAATAAATTAGACATTAGACATTTGCTTTTATTAAAAAGATGTAAATAGCTACAACATTGTAAATAGCTACAACATAGATGATTTTAAATATTATTTATCAAATAAATAGACAAATTTTTTATTTGAGAATGAGGAAACTGAATTTAATTCATTTGTTGAGCAAATATGATATGATAGCGATGATAAGTAGGTAGAATAAATTTGAATACGTCATTTCATGGCATTAAGAATTATAGGTGTTCTTAACTCTTTCTCTCTTTTTTTCTCTCTTTTGATTAAACAAGAGAGATATATTAACGTGTACAAATAAATAACAAAGTCTATTCGTTGCGAGTAAGAGACTCGCTTCAATTTAATTTGTTGGATTCATCTCCAGCGAATATGATCCATTATTCTCTTAACATAGAATCAAAGACATAGATTTAATCTACAGGAGACAAGTATTACAAAAATCTGTTCTTCTTTGTTCAGATAATTCTCGCTAATTTGCGAGAAATTAATGCACAGAGAATATGCATTATTATTAAAATTGTTATAAATGGATAACATAATTGAATTTTTTCTGCAACCTTTTATACGCATAAAATGCACTCTAGATATCAGAATCTCGAAACATGCGATATCTAACGCAAATAACAAATCACAAACACAGACGTTTAACAGATAACGGATGTTATAAATAATAATTTATAGCAGTGCTATAAATAATAATTTATTCTTTACTTAAAGTGCGCAATTTTTTATTTGTGCGATTTAATCTAGTTGTACATGTGCTGTTTTATACATTAATAATAATTATTAATTGTTTCAATTGTAAATAGTTATTTTTTTCTTTTTTCTCTCCTCTTATTTCTTTATTATATGTTCATTAGTTATATATTTTTTATTTCATAATTACTTGAGTTTCTTTTAGTAAAATTAATATTAGTCTTCTTTTAAAGAATATAACACTTTTACTTATAATTACATATTCATTTCATAAATAAAATTAAAAAATTAAGAATAAGCTAAAAAATAAGTTAAAAAATATTTTTCTGTTTTATAATTTATTTTTTAGGCACGTGATATGACAACCAACCGTTGCCACGGCTTCACAGTATATTCGCCGTCGGTTTTCTATCCGATTCATTATAAAAAATGGAAGAAATATTTTGAGATAAAAGACAGCAATGTGACTTTGAAGATATTGAACAAGGCGAAAGCGATTCACGTATGGAATAATTTGAGCAAGGCCGAAAAGGTGCGAGTGAATAGCAATGTACCGTATGCCGTTATCGCACGGAATTATTGTCCTCATGTTTTCAATAATTGCGGCAAAATATTTTGAACTTAAGCATAGGTAGGATAAAAAATGGAATACTTATTTCATCTCACAATATTGAAAATATTCCATATGAGAAAACATTTCACGTAGAATGAGATTGTCTAAATGCAATCGAAAAAGCGATAATATTGCATAAAATGCATTTAACGAGACAAAGGCTGATTTAGAAAAGTATTCTATTCACTCTACTTTTTTTGTGAGCAATAAATTTCTGTAAATATATTTTATAACGTCTGTTAAAGACCAATGCCATTTTAAATATTATACTATGAATTATCATGTTATTGAGTAATAATAATAATAATAATAATAATAATAATAATAATAATAATAAATCGCTGCATGATGCAGTTGTAACTTATAATCTCATATGTTTACATTGAAGATGAAATTTCAATATACAAGTCAGATGTTGCTTATCATATTGATCGCTTGTGTAATATGAATAATAGATTCCCATTCTCTTGTTATGAAGACAGAAAAATCTATTTTTATACTTAAAGAAGTTCGTCGCTCATACTTTTCCCATTCGAATAAAAACGAAACAATTTTGCTTATTTCCGTCATACAATATTTCTTAAAATAAAATATATAACATAAAATTACACTCAATATATAAATTTTGATCGTTAAGATAGTTTATTTCCGAATGAATTTTCATAATGTTACGTATATGTTTGTAATGAATATATTTATTTACGTATATATTCACATTATATTTATATAACTCAGTTTCACATATATTTGAAATTGATATTTGTTTTAGCAAATATTATATATTACAGATTGTTCTAGTCCAGTCTATTCAGTGTAACAGTTTTTAAAACAAAACCCGCTAATATCAGTCCGGGAAAAAATGTTTCATATATAATTATACAATATATAAAATATAATATATATATATATATATATATATATATATATACATATCATTATGTATTATGAAAAATTATAAGAAAAATTTTCGCCGAGAGTCTATTGTAATATAAGAAAAACTTTGGATGCATATCGAAATGATAATTACATACATAAACGGATCAGTACAAACTATTAAAGATAATCAATTATTGCTAATATTGTTACAATTGAAAAATTCAGTACACAGCCATAAACTCAATTTTTTAAGAATTTGAGGATCTTAATTAAAATTATATTTTATGAATCTATATAAGGTTAATTTCTCCAAATTCTTAAAAAAGAGATAAGTCATCATTGAACTGAATCTTTTGATCGTGTTGTATTGTAGATATTATAAATATAATAATGTTATTATTATTAACAACTATAATTACTACACATAGACAATTTTTAATACCAAGCTATCGTAACTTCGCCGAAATTTATCTTTTTGCAAATTTGCAAACGATGATGTATCGTAAGATATATCTCATTGATAAAATTTCAATATAAATGTTACGATAATTAATATCATGGCTGTGCAACTTTTAGTTTATGGCCAAAAATAATGACACGATTTATACGCATTTATCATAATCTATAGGTATTTATAGGTATCTATAGGTATAAATAATCTATAGGTATTTTTATTCAAATATGGACATAAATCTGTAATATTATAAATATATACATACATATATCCGCCTTTCTTTAGTTTTTTTCGTTTATTTATCACACGTAATTGGATTTTGATAATAATCATATATATTTATTTTATCTAATATCTTCGTTTAATAATTTTCTAAAATAATAAATTTCAATTCAATAATAATATTTTTGATAAAAATGTTATAATAGTGTGTTAATATTAAAATATTAGTGTATAAATTCATTAAATTTGTTACTGTTGATTATACCTATAGATTATGCATATATAATACGTCAAACAAGTTCAAGTATACTTAGAAATTAAGAGAAACTTAAAATTGGAAAATGTAATTTAATCCTTTGTACTATTTTACATACATTGTAAAGATTATAAAATCACATACAATAATGTAAAACAATAAATTAACAAATGTTGATAACGAATGACAAATGTATTTTTATCAACATGCCTTATTAAAAAAAATACGTTCTATCTTAAAACATGCGCATGCGCGTATGTTTTTAAGGAATTCTATAAACTGTAAAAGTACTTCTGAGTGTAAGGACTTTAAGTTGAACAAAATTTTATAAATTTTGTATTTTCAATATACGATAAAATAATTTATAATATCTTAAATGTGACACTTAATCTATTCCTACATATAAAAAAATCTGTAATATATATCCTTGGAAAAAGTAAAAAAATGTATTTTATGAATGAATATATAAGTGAAAAATATATACAAAAAAGCCGTGCATTATTCATTTATTCAAGATTAGATTAATTTATTGTATATTCTTTTAAAAATGATCGATGCGATCAAGAGCTGTATATTTGTCAAGATAGACGAAAATATAATACAAATAAAATATATTGTACAATTATTAATAAAATACACATAGAAATTTTGTTTTTTGTATTTCATATCATGATAACATTTTCTATTATTTTTTTAATTCTTTGCAAATTTTGAATGTATTTCGTATTTTCTTTGCGTAGTAAATGTATTAAATTGTAAAAATAATACGCAGGAAGTCACTTCATCGTTCATCGCAGTTCATCGCAGTTCATCGCTTTTTAAAAAATATATTTTAAAAATATCTTATTCATGTCCAGGAAATTCGCCAATTGGCGCACGTAAATCTCATTCACTTGATCTTGAATAATGATTCGCTTTATGCGAAGATTATTAATACCAATGCTGCAACGCTATATATGTCACGTAATAAACTATAGTTAAGGCTGCGTGTTGTGAAGGCCAATGTTTGGTTACGCGAACGAAAGCAAAGATTGTGCAAAAGGTTTATTTTCCTCTGTGAAGCTTTACCGTCGAATAAAATTTTAGTTATATTTCTTGTTAAATCCTTACGAAAATACTTTTTCTGTACTTACGTAATTTATAGTATTTCCTCAATTAAAGATAATTGTATCGATTGATTTTTATTGAAATGGTTGTACATATAATGCGTCGTTTCTTGAAAGATTAATTATTTGACGTGATTCATCGTGATATAATTATTCTTCATTACAGAAAGTTGAACAATTTTGCAACTCCTTTTCGAATACATTCTAGTTTTATGCGTAATGATTCATCATAAATGTCTAATCCATTTTCAATGATTTTAGAGAAAATTACTTTTAAATTTAATTAATATTAAGTAATATTAATTAAAAAAAATTAATGCTAAAAGTTTGCAAGTCAAACAAAATTCGAAATGTTCCTTATTCAAATAAAACGTAAAAAGTTCTTGAAATGAAATCGTATCTGTCCGTAGTCCGTTTTCACATCGTTGAAGAACGATAGACGTATCTGCTGGATTATGAAGACATCAGTAATAATCGAGCAGTTGAGAGCTATTTGTCGCACACTCGTAGATTATGTAACAATTGTATTACAGTACAGTTACTACAATTGTTTTTATATTCCATATGTTTTAATAAAAAGATCTTCAACAAGAAATTGATTTCCAATGTAAACAAAATAGAAATTTCAAATAGAATTATACGAATTGTGTAAACTTTCACAGATTGGTTGCAAATGAACACTGGACAAAGTCGTCTGCAGTTATGAGGAAACAACGCGCGTTTTTTGTATTGTGCTGTCTACTTGGATTAATGATTATTGTCTGCATTTTTTGGGAGGACTTATCGATGGTATTGTTCACCGTCATCTCAGCCGATCATGTTTCCTGTTGGTACGGATCCAGTGATCCAGATATCATGGAACTTGGAGAAGGAGAATGGGGTTAGTTAAGCTATTATAGATTTTACTTTTCTTGTATTTCAAGTACATATAGAATGGAAATTTAATTTTATTAAAATAAAATAAAATAAAGAAACTCTCTCTCTCTCTCTCTCTCTCTCTCTCTCTCTCTCTCTAAAGTTTAAATATTAAAATATTAAAAATATTTTTAAAAAATTTTGAATTATCAAGGCGAGAGAGAGAGAGAGAGAGAGAGAGAGAGAGAGAGAGAGAGAATATGAAATAGAAAATTACATAAAGAATATATCTTTCAAATATTACATGCTTTTAAAAAATATATATGTAGACTAAATATTTAGAAAAATTAAGTTAACAAAAATAAATAATAATTATAATGGAGCTGTTAGAAGTTAAGTATACAATTTTAAATTAAAACTCAATTGTTATTTATTTTTATTCTATAAGAAATCTTATTAATTGTATCAATATTTGTTTAGCATTTAAAGAATTTATCTTAAAAATTGAACGTAAAAGTTGGTATTATCGCAAACGATTTTTGTTTGATCAATATTACTTTATATTGGATAATAAAACATGGCAATAAAAAATGATAACAGTATGAAAAAAGCGATGCTATTCTCTTCCATTTATAGTTAATAATAGAGAATTAAGTACGTGGAAAAATTCCAAATTAAAATTAAATAATACATTTTTCCAAATTTATATATTTTATATCTTACGCTAGTAATAAATTATTATATCACGCGATAATATTAGGTGTTGGAATTAATTCGTAGCGTTTTACAAGTGATGGGAAGTACTTTCATTAATGTATTTTTTAATGCTCATGTGAAATAAATAACATTCTTTCATTAAAAACGCTACGAATTAATTCCAACACCTAATAAATTATTATATCATGCATATCAATAGACTTTGCAGTTATCTATATGCAAGTCATTTGAATTGATTGTGAGATATAATTATCACATAACAAATGTATCGTGATATTTTTAAAATGTATAAAATTCTACTTCAACTGAAGTACCTAAAGATTATCGACAATGACTTCTATCTCCTTGTAATACTTACAGCTGCAGCGATTTGCATATTCTTAAATATATTATTTTTAAATAACTTATGTCGACATTTTAGTCTTTTATCGAACATGTTTGCAAAAATATATATATGTAGGGTGAATCAGAATCGTTGAACCAGTTTTTTATCCTATGAAAAAATTATCGACTATACATGTTATAATCCAATTAGGTATGAAATGTATATGTCGTTGCAGCTGCTAAGTTTTACGAGTTATTGTCGACAATCTTTATATACAGTTGAAGTAGAATTTTAAAAGTATCACGATACATATACTCTGTTATGATATATTCTTTACAATTGTAAACTATAGACGACTCGGTGGTCTCTATATGCCACTGATTTAATATTAAATCCTTGATCTATAAATATCATCAATTTTAATATGCAATCATTTACATTAATTACAGTAGAATATTCATGAGAATAAAAATATGCAATTATAAATCATTCTGTGCACTTAATCATGTTTGTGTGTATATAATAGTGTTTTAGAATTTATTCTTTTATATAATAACAATATAAAAAAGTGTAAAATTTTATAAAATGAATTCATTTTGCGATAATATCAAGATTTTGTCTTTTATTTTCAAATGTTTATTATTAATTTCTTAATTCTTAGATATATTTAATTATTATTTAATTATTTAGTATCTTTTTAAATATTTAGTCTCTTATTAAATCAATATGTCTATTTCTGAAAATCAACTATAACTCAGAGAAATATTTCAATTGTGTAATAGATATATGTATATTTATTTTATAAGTTATAAATTAATAAAATTTATTTTATTATTATTTTAAAAAATAATAATAATGTATAAAGAGTTCCCGAGAATCATATGTTTTTAATTACTTTCTGTTTAAACGCTTTAAAGGATAAATTATTTAAATTTCTTCTTCATTATATTTTTTTTTCTTAATTTTTAGACGAACAAATGTTGATACCAAGTAGATGCATATTTTTCCATGAGACCACGTGTTCACCGCCGAATCTTACGCCTCAACAAGCGTGCGCCGTAGAATCGTCGGCTAGAAACAATCGCAATTTAAATGTCTTTTTGCTTTTCTTTGCGACGAAGCAATTTTCTGAGAAGTCTAAGAGATACATCAAAATCTTAGAAACTTATGATAATATATATATAAGAAGAATACGTTTGTCTACATATATTATCGATACGCCAATAGAAGACTGGTTCTGGACAAATATCCGTAGATTATGGGAAAATAAAGATTGGCTACATAAAGACTTTCATGATTATGTCCGGATGTTGACGTTGTGGAAGTTTGGCGGTGTGTCGTTGAATTTGAACAGCGTGGTGCTGACGTGAGTTGGACGATTATTTCTTATCTTCAAGACTTCAAAGTAAATTCAGCAACGGCAGACGAAATTAATTGATAATTTTCTAAGAAATTTTTCGTTAATAACTAACGATATATCTTGAATCAACATTTATATTCAGTTCTTATTTCAAAACCGATTATTTATTATAATGTCTAAGATACGGCTCTTGTAACATCTTAAATTTGTACTTAACAGTCTTATATATAGAAATCAACTATGAATATGAGTTTTAAACTCTGTGAAATTCAAAATGTCACAATTCCAATATTTTGTGTGTACGAATACGTAAGTGTCAGTATCAGTCTAGCAAATTCGCTGCAACAATTAAATAATACGTAGGCTGCTGGAAAAGTTTCTGCAAACAATATGAAAAAAAACATGTAAAATTCGGTAAATGGCTTTATTGTTTTTCAAAGTATTCGCCTTTAAGATCGATACATTTTTGCATACGCTCAAACCAATTTTCGAAGCATTTTTTCCACTCTGAGGCTGTAATCTCAGAAATCAGTGTACGAAATTTTCAACAGCTGCTTCAGGCGACTCAAATCGCTCACCACGCATCTTCTTTTTAATGTTTGGGAACAAAAAGAAGTCATTAGGTGATAAATCAGGTGAATACGGACAATGAGTTATTAATTCGACATTTTTACTGGATAAAAAATCAATGATTTGACGTGCTGTGTTGTCATAATGAAGGATGATGCGACGATTTCGATTTGTTCTACGCAATTCATTTATGACTTCTGGTGAACAAATTGTTGTATACCAATCAGTATTTACAGTCCTTCGATCCTCTAAAGCCACGGTTGTCACATGTCCGGTATAACTAAAGAAACAAGCAATCATTTGCTTGATAGCACTGCGTGAACGAACAACTTTTGTTGGTTTCGGTTCATTTTGAAATACCCAAACAGTGGATTGTTATTTACTTTCGGACTCATATGAATAGATCCATGTTTCGTCCCCAGTAACGATGTTGTAGACCAAATTTGACCGACCTCAGTTGAATTTCTTGAGCATTTCTTTGCTCCATTTAACACGAGCCTGTTTTTGAGTTTCGGTCAAATTGTGTGGGATCCAACGACTGCAAAGTTTCCGTACGCTCAAGTGATCATGCAAAATCGTATGTATTGCTTTCATGTCAATGCCTAAGGATGCTTGAATCTCGCGGTATGTCATATGCCGGGCTCGCTCAATTATTTCACGCACAGCATCAACATTAATGGCAACAACAGACGTGGATGGACGACCTTCACGGAATTCGTCACAAAGAAAGATACGTTCACGCTGGAATTCAGCAAACCAATTATAAATAGTCCTATTGGATGGTGCTTCATCCCCAAAAGCCGAATGAAGTCGATCGATGCATTGTTTCGGAGTTAGATTAAATTTATAATCGTAAAAAATCATTGCCCGAAAATTTTCACGCGAAATTTCCATTTTCTCACAAAATAACTTTTTTTAAAATACTATGCAAACAAAAGTTGGCTTGGGTACAAACTGTCAACTGAATTATATAATAGATTAAAAATACGGATATGATAGTAGCAGAACGTTGGTGCCACGTTGGTGAAAGTATTAGATTGCAGAAACTTTTCCAGCAGTCTAGCATATAAACGCATTTAGGTTTTAGTAAATAATTAAAATTTATATTTAGATCACTGGACAAGCTAACTACTTTTACGGGCGTGCAAGACAATCGAGATATGAGTGTCGGTGTATTTGGCGTCGACACGAGTACAAATTTTGGAAGAAACTTTATCGACGCTTGTATGGAAATTATTAAAAGTACAAATGCAAACAGCTATTTACGATACAATATCACAAGAGTTATAGCCGAAGCCGTATGGAAACTCTGTTATCAGCGAAACGTGAGTATGATATGAATTTGATTCATTTATTGTTAGCAAATAACTCACTTTCGTTAACGTGCTTCATCACTTCATGACGTATAATAATTCTGTCTCTTTCTTGCATGGTTTCTCACTCTCATCCTCAGTTTCACATTTCTCTTCCTCTTTGTCTCTACAATTTAAATTAAAAAATATTATATAAAACAAACCTAAATTTCTATAATTTAAACCATAAAACTTTTTTATTGTATATATTAACTGCATACAGGAGAAAAGTTGCTTTCCAACAGTTGCAAGGCTGCCTTTTCTGCTGAATGCAGCCATTTTTTATCATTTGCATGATCATTGGATTAATAAATCTCGTCACGTTAGGACGCATCATATAATTGATATATGATGTGTAAATAATGAAATCTCTGATAAAAAATTTTTATATTTTCATATTGTTCAGAATATTTATATTTTAAATTTATGAAAATCCTTAAACGTATTTCAAATTTTATAAATTTTTTATGATAGAATGAAAAATTTAAAAATATTTCAAAATTCATATATAAAGAATTCTGGAAAAATGTTGTAATTTTGTATAAAAAATATTTCAGGAATTTTTCTAAAAAATTATATAATTATATAGAATTCTAAAAAATTCTAAAAAATTATATGAAGGATTCTAAGAAAAACTTTTCGCCAAATTTAAATTACAATAGGTTGATATGTGTGCGAAAAAAATCATTTTACATTAAATGCAATTAATATGTAACAGAAATCATTTTACGTTAAATGCATATTACCTCATTAGACAAATCTTTCCACGTATTTCACAGGACAAGGAATGTCGGCAGTTTACGATCTATTCACCGGAGAAATTTTATCCCTCATTTCCTGATTCGCGGGAAGTTCACACAAACAAAACAAGAGCGAAAGAAATGCTGAAAATAGAGAAAAATGCTATGACGATTCATTTGTTGAATAATTACAACCGAAGCACAGAAGCATGGCTTTCAAATGTAATAGCTTTCAAAATGGCAGCTGAACAAAATTGTCCGAAGATATACGAATTAGTCGGAAAAAATTTTTTGAACTTATGACTTAGTATTATATTAATTGATACGTAGCACGTATTGCAAATTGATACGCAAATATATCTGAGTAAAGTTTATAATAATTATTATTTGTGATGTAGTTTATATTGAAATATTAAATAAAAATATTATATAAGAAAAAACTTACTGTTCTATATTTAATATTAGGTGTTGGAATTAATTCGTAGCGTTTTTAATGAAAGAATGTTATTTATTTCACATGAGCATTAAAAAATACATTAATGAAAATACTTCCCATCACTTGTAAAACGCTACGAATTAATTCCAACACCTAATAATATTCTAGCCTTTCATTTATAATAACTTTATAATTGTTTTTACATTTTAGCATTTATGTATAAATATTTTCCACTTTCATAAGTGAAAAATGAAAATATATACACAGTGTCCTAAAATGTCAAATGTGTGCTCATAAGCGGAAAAAACTGAGTCGAAAAATCCTTTATCAATTTGCAATTTTCGCAATAGTTAGGATATTAATTACTAAAAATCGCCGAATATTGATTTTCAACAATTTTTTACTCAAGTATCAATCTTTAACAGAAAAACAGCAAGTGAAAATTATTTGTTTTCTTCTCATAGAGTTCTGAGAATTTTTTCAAAATTTGTTAATACTGCATTTTCTCATGTTGATAAAAATAGTCAATATAAGAAAATACAGTAATAAAAAAATTGATAAAAAATTATGAAAAAATTCTTTGAGCTCTATGAGAAGAAAATAAACAATTTTTTTCTCTTGCTGTTTTTCTGTAAAGTTTATAATACTCGAGTCAAAAATTATTGAATACCAATCAACGATTTTTAATTAATATTTTGTTAACTATTGCGAAAATCACAAAATGGTACAGGACTTTTCGACTTAGTTTAGTCGTCGATTTTATCAGCATACAAAATATTTGGCGGTCATTCTGGGATACCCTGTATATGCTAAGATTATTTCTCAATTAAATTAAAGCCTCTAAATACGTTGAAAATATTTATTTTCAGATGAGATATGATGGTTATATTCAGAATATTAATACAAAGATTGAATGGGCGTTCAGATAATTATTTGCCTATGAGCGAAGTTAGATCTTTAGATTTATGATAAATTTAGAAGAATAGCAATAATAACAATGAGTTCACTTATGTTTTTTTGAATATAGCCAATAAGGATATATAATTAATAAATTAATAATTCTGGATAAATTATCGTGGTTTGTTCGTTGTTAAGATTTCAGGGGCTCGTTGTATTGATATAAATTTGTTAAGAATGTTTTATACATATTTTCAAAATAATAATAAAATTATGAAAAAATTATAAATTATTCTAAATCAATGTTTAAAAATAATACGACAAATTTGACGGTTTACTATCTGAATCATAAGTTATTTTAATAAATAATAGTACTTTTTTAATCTGCTCTAATAAAAATATATGAAAATTATTAAAATAAATAACAAAAATATCAATTTTTTTAAATATAAGTTATACATTGTTATATTCAAGATCATTTACGTAGAATTACATTGTGATGTATGAACAATAGTCCAGTAAATAAACAAAATATTTATTTGTTCTATCTTTGTTCTGTCTTCGTAACTAATCAGAGTGAATCGCAATAAAATTTTGCATAAATTATTTTAAATATTTAAAGTACGTATAAAAGAAAAATGTAAATTTTTTAATCATTTTTAAAATTTTAATTTTTAATAAAAATAATAACAAATAAAATAAATACAAAACTACAAAAATGTGTCAAACAAAAAAAAATCTTATTCACACAATTTTCATAAGTATATATAATAGTTTATTCGAAGTGTAAATATTAAACATACTTCCAAATTTAATTTTCTTTGCAGGAACTGTATGCATCTAATACATCCTTAAATCATTGACTTAAATCTGTATAATTAGTTCTTAATGCAGTATTAAAAATTGATAATTTATTATCATATTTATTATGTACTTTATAAATAAAAATGCATATTTACGACGCAACATTAATTAATATCATATATAAATTACTCCAAAACTACTCGATAAAAAATTTTTTCTACATTAATATGTATAAATATATACAAACATATACTTAAATATGCATAAATATTCATAATCATATATAATTAAACACGAAAACTGTCCATATAATTTTTTTTTTTGTAATACTTTAGTGTACTGAAAATAATATTTTTTTTAAGACAATGAAAAATAGTTAATGAGACAATTTTTGTATTATTTGTTGATTTTAGAAAAAATCAAGTTTTGAGAAAAATACAATAAAATTTGCTCATACATAACTATGTATAATTTTACATATGAGCAATTATATATGAGCAATTTTTTACATTTCTCCGAATTTGATTTTTTCTAAAACAAACAATGCAAAAATTAATTATTTTTGATATTTTCTCATTATTATTATTATTTTTAGTATACTAAAAAATAATTTTACAAATGAAAAATAGATGTATGAATATATCTCATACATAATTATATATCTTTATAAATATTTATACATGATTATGTATGTTTATACATATTTATATATATTCATACATGAAAAATTTCTTATCAAGTATTATTATATATTCTCTATATGTCGTTTACATGAATAATTAAATAAATGTAGTATAATGGTTCTATTTTCGATTTTCCTGTAATTTTATATATGTAAATTTATATAGTTTAAATTATTAGTTTAATTTATATAATTTAAATTTATATTTATTTTTACTTAGAATACATTTTGAGAAGGAAAATCGTCATTCACGTCCCACGAACTTCTCTATTTCAAAGCTTTTTAAGGTTCACATAAAAAGAATAAAAAAGGTATAAATTTTGATCACAAAAACTATGCTATAATTTATATTACATAAGAAAACAATTTTTATTTTTATTTTTAATTAATTAAAGCAGAGAATAAGCAAATTATCATTAAATTATTTTCTATTTTTATTTATAATTTTTATTTTTATTTTTAATTAATTAAAGCAGAGAATAAGCAAATTATCATTAAATTATTATTTTCTAATTTACCGACATCAAAAAGCTTTGAAATTGTAAGAAAAAAAAACAGGATTTGAGTGATAATTTTTTTTTTCTTTTCGGAATATATTCTATGTATAAAAACACATAAACTTATGAAATTATTGTAAGTAGAAGCGTTATTGCATATATTTATTTTATATAGAAATTCTTTATTACGTAAACTTACGTTTATCGTACGTGATATCGTTCGATTTATGATGTCATTAATATTTCATGCATAGAAATGTTTATTATATGACGTTCACGTTGAATTATCAATTTTTTATATAGAACTTATCTCAGTAATATTTTCAGAGAGAAGCGGATCCGATTTTACAATTTTAGTTGAGGTTAGGTTGCTACTGAATGACAATATAAATAGAGACGCAAAGAAATAAGGAAAAATTGTCAATACGTCACTTACGTATGATTGCGACGTATGTATTTTGATAATCTTTACTCCCATTATCATTTCATGAATAAAATCGTGCGATAACCGCTTGACTTGATGATAATTTTCGCGCTGAGATTCGATCATTCGATCATTAAGTATCTGATGCAGAACGTGATACTGCTGCGCGTTTCAAGAACATTGACGACGCGAAATTCAACCGTTCTTCTTTCGCACAGCACACGTATCGGACAATTAAGCACGTTAGACGTAATGGCACAACGAATCTTCAAAGGCGATAATGATAACTATAATGGCATTACAATCGATTCCGTTGAGGAGACCTGCGACAATAAAATATTTACACAGCGTCTCAAAGGTAGAGACGCATTTTGCCTCATCTCGTATCTTTTTCTATATTTAAGATATATTTCTATTTAAGATATTATATATATATATATGAGACTGTATTATAAAGAAAATTTTGAACAATCATTTTCTTTTCAAATTTGCTAAATTTTACTTGTAAAGCATTTATAACAACAAGTTAAAATTATTTTTTCATTGAGTTCTCATATTCCATGTTTGTTATCTCGTTAAAAGGATATTAAAGAAATAAATTTAATATATTATAGCAGAATATATTTTAGAAATCAGAAGAAATAAACACACATATAATTTATAAATATCAGAAGAAATAAACATACATATAATTTATAAATATTTTTATAGATTCTTTAGAGCAATGGATAAAGGATAAAAGACGCACTATATGGTTTCGTGTGCACATACCGCATACCGAGTGGATTCCGATATTAACAGGGCATGGATTCATCTTCCATCATTCCAAAGAAGAATATGTTATGTTATATCGTTGGTTACCTACTAACGAGGAATGTAATGTCCCAAAATATGCACATACATACTTAGGTGTTGGTGCGTTTGTGTTCAATAAGAATACTTGTGAAATTCTTGTCATTAAAGAAAAATATGCTCCTACTAAAGCAAGTTGGAAACTTCCAGGAGGCTATGTAGAGCCAGGTAGCTTAATATAAGACATTATGCACATATTAGTTCACTGTTTTGTATATATATGTATAGACAACATATATATTTATATTGTCAGGAGAAGATATTGAAACAGCAGCCAAGAGAGAAGTTTTAGAAGAAACAGGAATTCAGGCAGATTTCAAATGTTTAATATCTTTCAGACACGGGCATGATTATTCTTTTGGATGCTCGGATATATATATGATCGCGTACTTAACACCTCAAAATTTTGAAATTGATAAATGTAAACGGGAGATTTCAGAATGCAAATGGATGAAGGTAAATGTTATATTACAAGATTTTTTTCTTACATTACCAAAAATCAATAATTATATTTGTTTTAAATTCATACATGGTCTTAACAAAATCTGCAAGTATATATATTTGATAAAATTGAATTGTGTTACGATACTAATGTGCAGTATCTATATCCCTAAGTGTTGCATAACTGTTTCAATTTATAAACTTCTATTATTTTTCCAGCTAGGTGATTTCATGCAACATCCAGAAGTACATGCAAATAACAAAACTTTAGCAGCAAAAACAATAGATTTTCTTCAACATCAAATGGGCATAGTTGCTAACTATGGAGTACATCCCATTACTAAAAAGCAGATATGTGTGTATAGTGTGCAGAATACAGACTCTGAAAATACATCTGTAGAATAAACTTCGTCTTTAGAAACAAATGTGTATATACATATATAAATAAAATGAAATACTAGAGATTCTAAGTAATTATGTAAAAAAAACATGCATATATATATAAAGTTATTTTGTTATTACCGTTTTATAGAAATAAATATATAAGATAACAATAGAGATAATATAACTAATATAATTAAATATTATATATTAAATATTGTAAACAAAAGATTAAATTTTTGTCTAATAAATTATAATCTTAAGAAGACTTATTTTATATTATATCACATGTATCACAATAAGTTACATAAGATCTAAGTTTTTGTGTGCATTACAGTTATAAATATTTTTTAACTGTCTCACAATTATTATTGATATACTATGCTAAACAATCTGCCTTAAAGTAAGTTCCATCTTATTTGCTTTATAAGATTACACTTATACGATTATATTTATATTATATTTTTTTGATTACTGTTATATAAAATTCCCGCAACTCGCGGTTTCGCGTAAAGTACGCGATAGTGTCGCTGCGCTTGTTTTAGCGCCGAGACACTACCGTGTCTTTTGTAATACTTATATGTCTCAACATGTAGTTACCATTTAATTTGTAATAATATTAGAAACGTGTGACATAAATTTTAATAATACTGCCACAACCAGGAAAATTTTACAAAATTTTAATGATAAACAGTAAGAAAAACTGTATGTAAATACATTTCTATCAATTATTGTAAACTATTAATACAATTTTTGTCAATTAGTATTTTAATTGAATTTAATTTTCTTAAGGAATCATAGAATTTAGTGCGATGAGCGTTACTACTGTGGCAATAATGGGTGGCATACACCACTGATAAAAGGATGGACGCGGAGCTGCAGTCATAGAAAGAATAACCCAACTCGTGAAACGTAATATATTGCTTAATATAAGCGAGCGGTATCCTTTATGCTTAGGAGAAATCTGTACGATACCTAATGTACTGCACCCAGCCAATATTATCCAACTTACTATATGGATAGGATCTTCCGTGGAGAGTCTCATATCGTAGCTGTAATAAGTAAGTCTAAGTAAGTCTTTTCGTTAACTAATTTTTATGAAATTTAATTCCGATTTTAAGAGCCCTGTTTTCTCATTATAGTTAAAATATGATTAATTGATTATACTTTTCGCTTCTATCACAATTTGATATTATTATAATGAGAAAACGGAAGTCTTAAATCGAGAATTTTAATACATACCTGAAATTTTTTGCCCAAACTAGGACAGATGGAACTGCTGGGATTGCAGCAAAACTATATAACAGAAATAGAAGAAGACGATTGTATATCTCTTGACCAATATTTTTCTGACTAGTAGTTAACTGATCGTTTTCTTCTTCACTTTTTGCATTCTTCCAACGTTTAAACAAATTGAAATGTTGGAGTGGGGCCAATAATATGTCCTCTAAATAATCTTCGTACATCCTTGTTAATTTTAAAAAGTGAAGAAATACCGAAATGAGCATACTAAGAGCTGCGCACGTTATTGGAATTAGAGATTGTACGAAAAAAGTTGTAATATATGGCAGCTGATTTAAACCACTCAATAACCAGTCCGACCATGTTATTGAGAATGCTATTGCACGTGCTAAGAACCTACAAAGAATATGATTTACAAAAATATTTTAATTCATTAATTTGATCATTTTTTCAATATGCAATTAAATACAAGAGAATATTTTTATTTTAGTATAAATAAAAGAATTGTACCTGACAGCTATTCCATGTGCAACAGAACCAAGAAATATAACAGAGAAACATACACCGACGGCAGATATACCAATAATACATAAAGCGATGCAAGTTTCATACGTAACGTTGAAGACAAAGGATAATATTATGGTAATGATTATTGTCGGTAGCACATCTGAATTGTAATGTACCCTTAAAGAAACGATAAGAAGGAGTAAACTGATAATAGTCGTGTAAAGCAATGGCCACCGATCCCGTACTCTACATGAAATTTTATCGATGATTCCTCCAGGTTGAATATTAATCATATAAATGCATTCTGGTTCTAATGTTACTCTTAAACTTGCTGTATCATTGGAACGTCCATAGAGAGTCTGCATTTTCATCGTTTTCGGACCATCGTCTCTGCATTGTAATTAAATATATATAAAAAAAGCTTATACGAAACTCAATTTATTATGAAATACACTTACGTATTCGTGAAGATTTCCAATTGAGTCGATCCTACATTCGATGATTCTATTAACTCGACAATGGCATGATGCTTAATACAATTCAGCGATTTGAACTCGATTGTGACTGCGTCTATGATGTTGGGAAGTGTTATATAATATCTTATACTTCCCTTGACAGTTTCAATTAAATTAGGTCCACGAAAACCAAAGAGATATTTAGGATGTAAGAATCTGTTTCTTGTAGATTCCATTCGATTATTATAAAAATAGGAATCAAAATTGACTGTAAGTTGTTTCTCTAAATCATCGGGAGTTAATTTCACAATGGCATGAGTAATGTGTGGATATTTTATCTCTTTTATATTTAAATCAACAATTCTTCTCGATCGATATAAAGGATCGGGTAAAATCCTTGTTTTATTTGTCAAACTCCAACCCCATTCACTGAAAAATACATATATTAAAACTTATTAATAAATAATAATTTCTTTCATAATAAAAGTATATAATTCAATGTTACCAAATTCTTTTTTGTTCTTGTTTTTTTAATGCTGAACAAACAAACAGCCAATCCTTGCTTTGTAAATTTATTGTATCAATGGTTAAGAAATCAGATTTGTGAAATAGTTCCACCGCAAGATATATAACGGATGATCTTTTAATTCCGTTATTATTCCAGATATACTGTTGAGGTACACTCATCCATTCAGCGTCGGTTTCAAATCGAACTTTGTCTGGATAATGATACATTTTTTTGCCAGAAGTGTGCTGAAATTTTATACATTAAAATTCATTAACTTATTTTAGCAATTCCATAATTTATAATTATTAAATATCTTTTTGTGTGACTGTGCGATATCATATATAAGTAATTGAATTGATTAAATCCTGATTTTATAATAGCATCTATAATAATTACTTACTTTTAAGAAATGATAAGATAAGGACTTCATTTTTAAATCAGGATTTGATGTAATTTTAGGCGGTTTTTCCAACTGATTCACAGAATCAAATAGCGACCGCACAATTACAAATACTAATTGTTTACACCATAGAATACTTAAATGATCCGTGGATTTCCAAACACATGGTACACTCGTGGAAAGAACATTTATATCCGCCATACGATCGAAAGCTGCGATAGAAGGTACAAGTATATCACGTGGTCCACCTCCAACTGACACTATCTTTACTCCTGCATCCTTAAGTTTATGCAAATGTCTTTCCAATTCATAATAATAATTTGCAAAGACACTATCAAAAACTAAGAAAGGAGTATGAGGAGTAGCCAAATTTATTATCATATTTGCTAACGATGCGTTCATATTTGGTGCTAGTAACAGAGCTCCTTTTGCTATAATACCACCCTGAAAGCAATGCCAGTAAATTTCAATCATTCTTTATAGCACATATCTGTGTTTCTTACCATAGAATGACCAATTAGTACAACATTATCCATTTTTCCCTTATACAATGCTAGTATTGCCTTTATACAATGTGAGACATATTCCGTTTGTTCCATAAGCACACCTAGCATTAATAAAATTACAATAGCAGTTGGTATTATATACACAAATATCAATATATTAATTTTTATCAATATATTAATTTTATCAATATATTAATTTTTTAAATATTTTTCTGTCATACCTCCATACAACGCAGAATAATCCTTACTGAATGAAACAGTAAAAAAGTCAAAATGGAAGGAAGCTGTGCGACTTTTTCTTAAACTTACTGAAGCAATAGATCGTACTAAAATAAAAGAAAAAAAAATAAGTAAATAGACTTTTGAATATCTGTTTTAAAATAATAAAAATCTGTCATCAAACTAAATCGCTAATATATAATTAAAGTGATATAAACCTTGCTCATGAGATCCAGCATTGCCTGGTATGAAAAGAACTGGTATACCAGAAAAATGCATTCTTCTCAATTTTTCGGTTAGAATGCCTTCTCCATAAGCATACAATCCAAACCGTGGATATTTTGCTTCAATATCGTTTTTCAAGGATATTTTCTAAAATATAATAAATTATTTAAAAATTCACAAAAAAATTTATATACATATTTAACATTCCACTAAAAATATTCTTTGTTTTTATATTTAATAAATAAAAAACTCGTTATTATTTCTTCATATTCTGGTGGAAAAATGAAGTAAACTATCTGATAAGTCTAATTGAAAAAAACAAACTTAATAACACTTAATAAATTAGAGGTCTGATTTTTATAATTCAATCAATATATACTTCTTATTTAAATAAAATATATTAAATATATATTAAAATTTGACAAAGACAAGAAGGAAAGTTCTAATTCAAACTATTATAGTAATAAAAAAATAAACTTAAGAGTTCTAAATAAACATATTAAAAAAGTATAATCTCTATTCTTATAGCAAGCTACCTCCAATAATTCATAAAAAGTATAGTAGTAAAGTTGAAAAATGTTGTAGTCTCATGTATGATTTACAAATTCACATACCACATATTGCGGGTACTCAAACATATACGTCATTTCACAAGTATTCTCCTCAAAGTCAGTGACATATCTCGCAACCCCGAGAACATACAGTAGAGTGATCATAATAAAAAACGGTGCCAGTGAACCATAGATAATTATCCATTTGAATGAAATCATTTTGAGTACCTGTCCACTCTCGAACCTTTAAGTAGAAAATATTTATTATTTGCTTTAACACTGACCGTTTAATACTGACATTTCTATCCTTTGAGATCTTTAGAAGAAATTTTTCATAGATTACAATTTGGATAATAAACTTAAAATTATATAAAAAATAGAAAGTATAGAAACTTAATCAATTTACTGAAATATAAAAAAATCTTATAAAAATAAAAAGTATATACCAGGATAGATTCCTATTACTTTCATCTGATTCGTCGGTCTTCATTGAGACTATAGGTTATAATTTCTTGTGATATTAAAAAAAACGCCAATTCGAATAAAATTTGACGCATGCGCAGCGCATCATAGGATTGATTTCATATCTCATTTTCAATGCAGAAATGCCGAGAGCGCCAGCGATTGATTGGTTTTTTTTTTGGAACTGATCAATCGCATTTGCTGTTCAATAGAATTGACCAATCATGGTTAACATTAATCGATCGATTAAGGGTGCGGTCCACTTGACGCTACAAATACTTCGAAGCGTTTGATTGACCAAGGAAGAAAGAATTTTACTTGAATTTTAATTGACCAATCAAAAAATGCTTTGAAGCATTGTAGCATTACTGTCTATTTCCATCAATGTAGATTAACTTTAGTCCGGCTCTACAATAGATTTTTTTTTTAAGCCTTAAACCATAAGGAATGGACGAATCACAATTCAATTAAGCTTGATTGCACCAATGTTACTTTAATTTTAAGTGAGGCTTAAAATTTTCTCTGTCTCTTTTTCACTTTAAAATGAAATAGAGTTTTAAATATCGCTTAAAGTCAAAGTAATGTTGATGCAATCGGGCCTTATACTCCTCGCATTCGACTGTAATTGGTCAATTTCTTACGGCTTAAAGCTTAAAACACCTATTGTAGATCCAGACTTAATCTTGGTTCAACTTATTCTTCCTCTTTTTCTAATCTTCATAACTAGAAAAAGACAAAGAGTAAATTAAACCGAGATTAAAGTTAATCCACATTAGTGGAAACGGGCATAAGTGGACCATAGCCTAGATCGAAGTTGATGAGGTCGGTCCTAAAGGCTATTTCATGAAATGCTCAAAAGTCAAGGAACGCAATCATTTTTTATTGGTCTATTAGATGATCTAAAAGAATACACCAATAGCAGCGAGCGTTTACGGATCTGTTCCGCAACAGTTGAGTCTGCTGAACGAGACCATTGGCTGCGCTCGCTGTTATTGATATATTCTTTTTCTTATTGATATATTCTTTTTTTCTCTATAAATTCTTTGTTCTCTGTTCCCTTTTATTGTGCGGAGCCCTTAATGACTGCAGAGTTATGATTGGTCTTCAGATTGGTTGTCGCAACCAACTTGAGATTGGTTGCGTGTAGAATGGGCTTAACGTAAATTGTAAAGGTTTAAACACAATAGGCACAGGCAATAGTATAGGCAACAGGGAATAACGAATCATCTAATCAGAGCTCTGGGATATAATATCGAACTTACACACCAGATTGGACGACTCGTTATTCCTTATTCCCTGTGCCTATTGCCTGTGTCTATTGTGTTTAAGCCTTAATTTTTCGGCGTTGGCAAATGAATTTTGGAATACAGTCTAAGGCTGTATTGGTCCATTTTTCACTTTCTGCACATTTCTGCGCGGCTAAACATTATGGCTGAACTAGTCGAAGCCGTTGGACCACGTGTTTTTCATTGATATGTATGTATATAACTGGCAATGAGATATTTTACTTTTTTAAATTTTTATTAAGACTATTTTTTTCTCAACATAATTGAATAAATTAATTCTTGTCTAATTATCATAATAATTAAATAATGTAATAATGTTGAGCATGTCGGTATTGATACGCTAACGATTGCGTTTGTAATTACCGCATGGTCGCGATCAAACAGAAGAAGGATAAAAAAGAAAACAGAAATATTGCGACAAGTGCACAGAGCAGATAGTCATTTAAGTATAGACAATACACACGGAAAATGAAACGAGAGAATTCAAATTCGCAAGTGAAAACGCGAAAGCGGAAACGAACGAGTTCTGAAACAGAGACTATAGAGTCGTCAAAGGAATTTAATTTGAAGGATCTATCGAAAAAACAAATTCTAGAATGTATTTCTGCGATTTTTCATATGACTCAAGAACAGTTAAAAGAGAGGAACAATCTTCTCGCTGAGGAGGCTCAGCCAATATTTATACAAGTGACTAGCGTCAGAGTACCAGAGATGCCTCGTAGACAAATGAGAATGTAAGTGAATTTATAGATCTTAAAAGATTTTCTTTCTTTTTATTAAAACTGCACATGATTATATATTGTAATTACCAATGGATCCTTATGAGATTTTCTGATTATAAATCTTATAATGATGATACCTTATACGTAATAAAAATTGTTATGTTTCTGTCAAATTTCTAATTAAAATTTATATTTCTCTTTATAGATTGTTGCCATATTCAATAGTGGCTCCGAATGATGAAGTAGCTTTATTCGTTTGCGATTTAGAGAAAGGAAGAAGAAAGGATTATGAACCAACGGTGGAACATTATAAAAATTTATTAGACAAGCATGGATGCACTCGTGTGAATGAGATAATACCTATAAATCGTGTGAAAACCGAATTCGATCAATTTGAATTAAAGAAAAAGCTTTTATTCAGTTATGATCACTTTCTTGTTGATGGTCGTATTGCTGGCCATATGTCTCATTTATTAGGAAAAATCTTTTCCAAAAGACGAAAGCTACCAATTTCAGTCAGAATGGAAAGCAAGGACTTGAAGCACGAGATTGATTATGCATTGAGAAAAACCAGCATGCAGCTTCATTCCCATGGCGATACTCATTTGATGCAAGTAGGGAATACATGTATGAAAAAGAAAAGAGTTTTGAAAAATATATTGGCCGTTTGTGAAGAATTGTCTAAAAACTATCCTGGTGGTTGGACAAACATACGAGCGCTCCGATTGAAAGGCACAAACAGTCTAGCATTGCCTTTTTATATGACGTTAAGTAAGTTGAAATATAGATTTAATTTATTGACGACATGGATTGTTTCTTTAAATAAATTTATAAATTTCAGAGAATAAAAACACTGTTGATCCAAGTACAATTGCGGTACAGCCAAAGAGACCTAAAGCTTACTGTGATGTAGAAGGAGAGCTTTCAACATTTATAAGTAATACTACAGTCACGGTTAAACCTGAAGGCACAGTCATCGTCAAAAAGGAACAGACCAAGAACAAATCAAGTAAAAAAATTACAAAGAAAAAAGCTGAAAATTGAACGGAAAATTTCCAATAAAATGGAAATTTGCTTTTTGCCCTGATGAAGTGGACTGCAAGGCTCACGAAACGTTAGTATTCCAAGAATGGATCTAAACACGGAGAAAATCTGTGAAACACACAACAGTTATATAGAAAGCACCCGTGAAAGTCTCAAGAATATTAAAATGGAAATTTGTTACTTTGAATTTTAAAAAATCTTGTAAAAAAGTAAGAAATAGTAATCACAAAAATTTTCTAAATACATAATATTATATGTATGTTATTTAAGTTTAATATTAATTTAATCAACATTAAATATCAAATATTTTTATCGTCTCTAGTTTAATTATTGTATCTAAGACAATAATTAAATAAACATATAACATTACTTTAGAAATTATTAATATAACTCTACCTTTTTAAATTTCATGAATAGAAACTGTTTTTATGCTATTTTTATTTTTTGTTTAATTTTACTTTATTTAAAATTCTGAGATTAGAATCGAATTCAGCGATTTTCCAAAAATCTTTAGAAAAGATTTTCTGTAAATTATTTTATTAAAAAGCTCTTCAAAGAGTTAAATATTATGCTAATTATATTAGAGGATATTATTTTTCTTGGATACCATTATTTGATTAATAAAGGCATTATTGCTTAACAAATAATTTCTTTTTTATTGATATATTAGATTATGTGCAAATACTTGAAATTGTGAGGAACATTTTCTTCCTAATACTAATAGTCAATACAAAATAGTCTGATCCTTCTTAGATATACTCTGATATCCATTAGCGGGTAATGTTGGCAAACTGTTTGCGACACCGTTAGAATTTTGCAAACTCTTGTACACATTTGTCGCATCTATGACTACTTCGATCTCTTGAAAGTTTTGAAGTCTCTGAATATCCTTGTCTCTCCTCAGTCTAGTATTGGGCAACTTTCGTAGTTTCTGGATTTGATGCGAATTGACATCTAGCTCCTTGCAACACAGACATAACAGAGCCTGATATGTTAACTCGCTTCGTGGTAATTCTACCTCTATAAAATCTGAATCCGCTGTATTGGCAATCCGGATTTTCAATACCAATTCTAAAAATATATTAAAATACAATTTTATATATATATATATATTATAGCTATAATATATAATAAACTATATATAGTTCCTTTAAAAATTTTGTTTAAATTTATTTTCTCATCATCATAAACTGAATCAATATAAATATAACAACTATATTTTTCTCAATAATAATGATAATATTATAAAAAAAAATCATGGTTTATTTTTTCTGGCTAAATTTAGAATGTCAAGTAACTAAAGAAAATGTATCAATTTATATCGAACCGTCTTGAAATGCTGAGATGAGTCTGCTTTTGTCATATATGTTATTTCTGGCTTTTGAAGAATTTGCAGTAGCGCGCAAAAAATCTGATGGAGCGTACGCGGATGGAGCTGAACGTAACGATGTGTCATACATGATTCGCTCGATGTCATCGTTTGTGCTTAGAAGATATAAAATTTGTTGATTGCTACAGACAGATGCTGGGGTTTCGCCTATCTCAGATCTTATATTTTTATCGGCACCATTTTTCAAGAGTAAGACAGCGATGTCTAAGTATCCCTCTTTACATGCCCAATGTAGTGCAGTCCTTGAGAAACAGGAATGAACAAAAAATGAATAATATGATGTTATAAATATCTTAATATGTAAATCTATAACAGTTAGATTTATTTATTCTGTTACTAAATTACAGTATATATGTATATATAAAATTCGTGTACTTCTATATTAAATTATGTATGTATTATGAATAATAGTATCTTATAATATTAGTAACAGAATTCTTTTAAGTATAATGAATAACACAGGTCAAAAACTTTTAACAATTTAAGACTAGTGTTGTCCTTGAGCTCAGCGTCATGCATTACAATAAAACACAATGAATTGAAAAGTAGACACGATTACTGATACATTTTAATTCAAGCCAAAAATATTCAGCCCTGGACAACACTGATTTAACTTTTACATTGGCATTAGAGCCCATTTTTATCTCGAGCAATAGAATGCAAGTTATTTCATTTAATGAGTACAAGCGAGAATGAATTGTACAGGATTAAAAAAAATTCAGAAACATGTAAATATATTTTTATGAGTTCTGCGAAGCTATGAAAGCAAAGCTGAAATGACAAGTACCATCCACTGACAGGCTCTCGCGCGTTAACGTCAACACCTAGAGTCAAGAGATCTTGGACGGCTTCGGTGTCACCGAGGCAGACCCTTTCCCTTAAACGCTCTTCGAGTACTCTTTCCATTTTGCAACGATTTACATGCACCGCGCTATGATATGTCACATATTTGTAATATTACAGGCGAACGAGGCAGCTCAAAGATGGAGCATCAAACGTACGGTAAGCATAAATATAGGCCGTGTTCTGAGACTTTGAAAATCTATAGTTCACGTTACGTATATTATAAGATGAGTATAGATTTTCGTACTGGTTGTGTATACAAACATCGGAACACGTCCAGTCTGAAATTGTTGCTAGCAGTCCATATTATATAGTCAAAGAGAAGAACAGGATTATTCTTTATCCCAGGCTATTGAACTTTTCTTACAAGGTTCATCTTTTTTTTTCATATTGAAAATAAAAAAATAAAAGATAAATCTTATCTGAAGAATATTATTATTTTCGTACTGGCAATATATACAAACATCGGAACACAACAATTCAGTTTGGAACTACTAACAGTCCATATTATATAATAAAAAGAAAGAATAGGATTGTTCTTTATCCCAGGCTGTTGAACTTTTTATAAGATTCATCTTTCTTTTTTTTTTTCATATTGATGAACTATGCAAGAACATCGAAGAACACTCTCTTCGAAGAATATTATTATTATCATTTATTTATTTATTCGATAAAATTTTCCTGGGAGGTAAAATTGGTCTGAATGTAGTTTAGAACCGAATTCTCTTATTGGCTATCGCATCGTCAGATCAGATGTTGTACGTCGTGTGAATGCAGCATAATATTGTTCTAAACGGACCATCGGTTGGTAGTGTCGTTACTAGACTTTCATTATCATATGTTTTCCGCACACTGTTGCAAGTGTTAACATTCATACACCTGCGAGCTGTTTAAGGCAGTGCAGACTCATCGCCGAAAAAAATCTCTACTCCAAAACACCGTTTTATTCTTATCGTGGAGGACTACGCGGGGTTAATTTTGCGATTGCTTGACGTACGTTGCGCGAGCTCACCACCCCGGCAATATGATTATAACGCTGAAAAACTTACAACAGCAAACCTTCACGATAGAGATCGACTCGTTGCAAACTGTAAGTAAAATTTGGCAAGATCTAGCGACGGAGCTGACTTTTTCGAGCGGTTAACGATTCAGATATTTGCCTGTTATCAGGTCAAAGATCTCAAGGAAAAGATCGAAACGCAGAAAGGCTTCCCTGCCGAACATCAGAAGTTGATATACGCTGGTAAGGATTTTACAGCATCAAATAACCTAATACATCGGGAACATTATCCAACCATTAACCGCCCGGCGTCAACACAGCTGGGAGAAAAGCCGCGTTAGAATAATATACTGACTGTTGTGTGGCCCGTATATGTTTAAATATAGCTCCCTCGGGGTAGGAATGATCTTGCAGAAACGCTCATAGGTTATGTTTCCGACTCGCACACGTTGGGGTCTGACGATTTTTTTTTTTTTACTTTTATTATTGTAACGATGTGCAAACACTTGCAGGGAAAATATTAGCGGACGAGCAGCCTTTAGCAGAATATAATATCGATGAGAAGAAATTTATAGTTGTTATGGTAACAAAGCCTAAAACTGGTGCTACACCTAAAACAAGTGAAGAACAGCGCACAGAAGGTGATAAGAAGGAGGAATCTACTAGGTAACTTAAGGATTGCGATATTTTGTGTAAAGCACGATAAATATGCCATTTGTTATAAAACGTTTATTATATCAAACATTAATTACAACAAATATAATTGCCAAATATTATTGAGAGAACAAAATGTTTTTTTTTTTTCAGATTATATACAGAATAAAAATTAGTTTACTTCATGTTTCTTTATCTTTCTGTTATAGCTCGGCTACTACACAACCTAGTTCGAACCCTAATGTTCAGGATACTACACGAGCAGCTAGTAATGTGCAAGAGCAACCCGTAGCAGCTGCTCCAGCAGCTGGTCAAGCAGAAAGTGCCTTGCTAATGGGGGAAGATTATAATACTATGGTAAACAACATTATGGATATGGGGTACGTACGGAGAAAAATGACATGCTGAACTGCAATTATTAGTATTTATATGATAATCTTATTGTTTGAATTAGATATGAACGTGAGCAGGTCGTACAGGCGCTACGCGCGAGTTTTAACAACCCTGATAGAGCTGTCGAGTATCTCATAACAGGTATACCAGCGCAACTCTTCGAGGATCCACCTGAAGATCCGCCGGAAGCTCAAGAACAACTTCAGGATCAAAGTCAAGATCCATTGGCCTTTTTACGTTTGCAGCCACAATTTCAACAAATGCGTCAGGTCATTCAACAGAATCCACAGCTGCTGAACAATCTTCTTCAGCAAATCGGTTCCACTAATCCTGCACTTTTACAGCTTATTTCTCAAAATCAGGAAACATTTGTACGCATGCTCAATGAACCTGGTTAGTCTAATGTATGCTTAAAACATCGTCGTTATTGTAATTGAAAATAACAGATGATAATTATATAATAATAATATATATAATTTGTTGTGCCTTTTTTCGTATAGCGGAACCTACTACGGGAACGGGGGCGCGAGTTTTACCATCTGGAGGAGGCGTAGGACCTGCGGCTGCAGCTACTGCAGGAGGCGCTGTGAATGGTGGACCTGGTGCGGGTGCAGCAACGGGCGTAGGATCTGGTTTAATACAGATAACACCACAAGACAGAGAAGCTATTGAGAGGTTGAAGGCATTAGGTTTCCCAGAACATTTAGTCGTACAAGCATATTTCGCATGTGAAAAGAACGAAAATCTCG